CTCTCTGCCAATATTTTGTCTTATTTTGTTTTTAAATGATGAAATAAAGGTTAAGATTTCCAGCTTCTATTTTCAGGGACTTCTCTGAAAACAGTGAATAGTCTTAATTCCCCCCAAAATGGAATGCCTAAATTAGATAAAAATCAATACTTTATTTCCCTTTTATTTTTCCTAAATAAGCTCTAGGCCCAACGTGGGGCTTGAACTCATGACCCCAAGATCAAGAGTCACATGCTCTATCGACTGAGCCAGCCAGGTGCTCCTATTTCTTATTCATAACACTGGTTTTCAAGGAATAAACTTTCTATTAGAAAAATACAATTTCATAGATTTGGTAAAAATCATTCTGAGGTAGTTTATAGAAGAATTGCCAATTTTAAACTCATTATTCACTCATTACATATCAATTAGCAGCTGCATGTCTTCATCAATGGTTTTTATGTGTGTAATTTAAGCCATACATTGCCACAAAAAGAAAACAAAACTATGTAAGACTGCATAACTGACAAAGTGATGTGGATTCCTGGGGGCTGGTGACCCAATACTTGACCCCATGACAGCACATGAGGGCGCTAAGGCTTGTTCCCTCTGCAAACACTGCAGACTTCTCACATGGTTCTATTTTCGATGACAAAATATATGAATCCATACCTGTCTTAAAACATTACCAGAAAACATGCCATTGCTATCTTGAACAGGAATCCCCTGGACTGCCTTTGTGGACGCCAGAGATTCCAAATCACCAGCTGGAAAATGGACCTTTCCTGACTCCACAGTTTAATGATCTGGACAGTCAGAATTTAATACATTCACGTCTACCCCTCCTAATACATTCCCCCCCGACCGGTTGCTTGGTCTGTCTCTCCTGCTTGCTAAATGCTTTCTGCTTTCCTTGGCTGCCGAATCTCATGAAAAAGTACTTTAAATGTGCTATGTCAATTTTTCTACTCACGCTAACTTTTCAGTATGCCCTAACATGGTTGTCGTACTCTTCTACTAACAATATTTTTGTTAACGCAACCAGTTCTGTCTCTGTCACTAAGTTCAGTGGATACTTTCGGTCACTTAATCACTCAGCAGCATCTGGTTGGCCCCCTCCTCTTTGCTGAAGCACGCACAACAGCATACTCTTCTGGTTTCCGCTTGTTTCCTGGGTTCCTTGTCTTAGTGTCTTTTGCCAACCTCTACCTTTCCTTTAAAAAGGTTGGTGTTCTTGGGGCACCTGGGTGGTACAGTCAGTTAGGCATCCGAATCTTGGTTTTGGCTCAGGTTGTGATCTCAGGGTCATGAGATTGAGCCCTGTGTCAGGCTCCTCACTCAGTGGGGAGTCTGCTTCAGACTCTCTCTCCCTTTCCCTTTGCTGCTCATAAACACACTCTCTCTCTCAAATAAATAAATACATCCTTTAAAAAATGTTAATGTTCTTTAAATGTTGAAGCCGTTTTTCCTTCTTATTGTACTTTTCCTCTGGTTATTTACCTCATTTACTCACAAGGTTTCAACTATCCTCTACAGGCTCTATAGATAGATTTCTATCTCCAGCCCAGACCTGTCTCCTAGGCGGAGGCCCTATGTCCCCCTGCTTATTTGACATTTCCATTTGTACAAAGCATTGGCACATTAAATTCAACAGGGCCAAATTGAATACTTGGTCTTATCCCAAACCCAAGCCATCTCACCCACAAACCTGCTTCTTTGTGCATCCTCTAGCTCTCTAAGTGGTGGCACTATGTCCCCACTGCTCAAGTCAGAAATATGGGTATTATCCTTGACATGCCCCCCTACCCAACAGAGTCAATCAATTACTAAGTCCTATTGATTTCGCCTCCTACATATTTCCCCAATCTGTTTACTTCTCTCTATCATCATCATCATCATCATCACTTCGGGTTCAAGCATCATCATCACCCGACTGACTACTCCAGGAGCTCCCAATGGGTCTCGTGCAAACCCTGTGGCTCTGCTCTAACACATGGTCTACTCTGGAACTGGAATGCTATTTTTTTTAAAGACTTATTTATTTATTTGAGAGAGAGAGCATGAGTGGGAGGGGCAGAGGGAGAAGGAGAAAGAATCTCTAGCAGACCCTGTGCTGAATGTGGAGCCCAACACGGGGCTCAATCCCACGACCGTGAGATCACAACCCGAGCCAAAACCAAGAGTCAGACACTGTGCCACCCAGGCACCCCTGGAATGCTATTTTAAAATGGCTATTTGATCATCTCATTCTTTAAAAAAATAAAAATTCTTGAGTAAAAGGTCTGTAAGAAAAACTTAAAGGTCTGGCCCTCATCTACCTCTCCAACCTCATCATGTGTCATTCTTTCCCTTATTCTTTATGTTAAACACACAAGTTTCTTTCCTTCCTCAAAAGTTCTTTCTTCAGTTTTACAGTCTTCTTTTCTCCAGAACAGAAGCTGGTGAACTTTTTTAGGAGAAGGCCAGACATTAAGTATTTCAGGCTCCACGGGCCAGTGGGTCAGAGTGTCTGACTCCAGCGCTGAGCTCCGGCACGCAGGACGAGCCCCGAGCGGTATGTGGACAAACGAGCCCCACTGCCTTCCTGAGCCTTGTACCGCGGGCTGTGGGCTGGGGCACAGTCGGCCACCTCCCGCTCTAGGAAGCTAGCCGTCCCTATCCTGACGCTTGCGGATTCACTTTGAGTATCATTTTTCTCATTGAAACTTTTCCTGAGCAGGTAAGTCCCCTTATTAAAGGCGCTTTGACCACAAAGTATATGTCTCTTTATAGAACCAATTGTTACTGTAATTAATTAGATATTTACAACATTATTTCATCTATATCCACCTTCCCTATAAGACTGTAAATTTCATGACACTGGGGACTATGTTTACTTTGCTATTTTATTCTCAGCATGTGCTGGAGAACACAGTAATCAATAAATACCTGCTGAATGAATGAATGATTAATTTGCTGCCTGGCCTTCAGTGGGCAACTGTAGCTTTCTGAGACCCTCAGTTATTCATCTGGAAATGGACGATAGTAACAGCTACTTTCCCGTTTGTTTCAAGGTAAGATAACATGGCTGAGTGCATTTTGTGGACTCTAATACAAATTTAAGAAAAAAAAAATATTAGCAAAATGACTTGGTTGCCCAGTATGGGACAAATTGCAGCCCAAACCAGGCCAAATTCTCTGGCTTGTTTTGTTGGCCCTCTAAGCCATGAATGGTTTTGTTTTCTTAAAAGACTGTGAAATACAAAAACAAAACAAAGAAGACCTTGTGACAGAAACCACATGTGGCCCACAAAACCTAAGATATTTTAGTCTGGCCTAGAACAGTGTCTGAGTCTAAGTAAATATTTTATTTTATTTTTTAATTTTTTTTAAAGATTTTATTTATTTATTTGACAGAGAGAGACACAGTGAGAGAGGGAGCACAAGCAGGGGGAGTGGCAGAGGGACAAGCAGGCTTCCCGCGGAGCAGGGAGCCCATGAGGGGCTCGATCCCAGGACCCTAGGATCATGACCTGAGCCGAAGGCAGACGCTTAACTGACTAAGCCACCCAGGCGCCCCCTAAGTAAATATTTTAATGAGTAAATAAATGAATGATTAATTACCTCCCCAATACACCCATATTTTAATATTTTGGCGGCTGAAAAGCAGTGCCATTTTCCGATGGCCTTCTTCCCTTCAATAGAGCAAGTGATTAAAATATAAAGTATTTATGCCCTCCCCAAGGACTCTATGTTGACTTTAGATTTAAAAAACAAAATAAAAGGAGTCTATAAGCATTTCGTTTTCCTCTCAGTTGTGTCAACAATTGCTTTTGAAACAGAGAAGGTGTGGGGTGTCTGGGGAGCTGGATAGGAATGGGGGGCTGGGAGCCAAGAGAACCCCTTCAAGCTCCCTGCGGTGTTGTACACGTGATCATCACGTGGAGTCCAAACCTACAGCAATCCATTCATTGTATGTTGTAAATACTGACGGTTCTTTTTCCCTGGGAATCCATCATTATACAGAAATTTTAAGTGACACATTTATAGGAAATGAGAAGGGGCTGGGTTTGTTACAAAAGAAGTGAACTTAAAAAGGAAAGGAATTTGGAGTCAAAAGATCAAGATTCAAGTTGGAACTCTACCACCTCCTCAACCTGTCCCTCTGAGCAAATCCATTAGTCTCTCTGAGCTTGCGTTTCTTCGTCTAGAAAAAGGGAGCAAATATCATTGGTGCCATTTAGTAGGTGGCTAGTAGGAGCCAAGTGCTTGACGTATATTTGATCTTTATATCAAACTGCAAAGTGGCCATTATTAGTCCCAATATATAGATAAAGAAACTGATGCTCAGGGAGGTCACATAACTTGCTCCCAGTGACACCACTAGGAAGAACCAAAAAGTTTGGAGTTAAATTCTGTCTCCAGCAACACCATCAGTGCATATCTGATGAAGATATTTAACCTTCGGGCACCTGGGTGGCTCAGTTGGTTAAGCATCTGACTCTTGGTTTTGGTTCAGGTCATAATCTCATGGGTTGTGGGATCCAGCCCAGCGTAGGGCTCTGTGCTCAGTGGGGAGTCTGCTTGGAGATTCTCTCTCCCTCCCCCCACTCTAGTGCACGTGCTCTCTCTCTCTCTCTCTCTCACGTAAATAAATAAATATATTTTAAAAAGATATTTAACCTTCTTAGCCTCTTATATGTTTTATCTTACAAAAACCACTCGAAACCTAATTTCTATGACAGTCCTCCATATTATATCACCAACTTACACCTTCAAGGTAGATGGTTTTCCTACAATGCTATTAAATCTAACTCTGTGTCTACAGAATAGTAAAAAGGAGATATACTCTCCCCTCTGTGTAATATAAGGACAACCTAAGCGGAGAAAGCATAAATACTCAAGAGTATTAGATTTTGAGCACATCCCTCGTGTGCCATGGTGGCCATGAATTCTATTTATTCCACACCAATTCCCACTCCGATTTTGAACCAAGCACTTTCAATATATGGCATGTCAGTTGATTACTGAAGCTGTATTACCTCTGCTTCATTATCTCATGTAGTCTCCCGTGTTGGACACACTGCTCCTCCAATTCCTCATTTCTCCTCTCTGACTTTTCCAGTTTGTCATACATATACCTTTTCTCTTGACTGAGCTGAGCTATTTCAGACCTAGAGAGGCGAAAACACAGAAATGACAGATGTTAAAGGTTCTTATTACCGGAGCACGTTTTTACCGTATAACCTTAGCATTGTCTTAAACACCATACTTAAAAATAACAGTGTAAACAAAAGTTATTTTATGTAAAACGGAATATTTCAGAAATTGCAAAATGTCTAGTGGAGGAATACATGCATTGCAGGGACTCAAGTGGCAGACAGGGAAAGGAAGAGTGACTTACTCTGAAAGAGATGGCTTCTTCCAGGACCGACACAAAAATGATAATGATTCCTATTTATACCCAATATTTACTGAGTGCCTATTGCAGGCCAGCCACCATGCTGTTAAAGGAGCAACCCCAGGCCTAATCTCTACGACAGAGCGTTGTTTCTTTTAATTAACATAGCTAATGTAATGGCACATGATTAAAATCATATAGTTCCAAAAGGCATAATAATGAAAAATGGCGTTCCTCTACCCACCCTCCCACCTCATCTCCAGCTTATCAATGTAATTACTAGTATTCCAGCGTGTAGTTAAAGCAATAGCCATATTTATGTCATGTGACTACCTACATATTGGTCCTTGCTGGCTCAGTAGCTTATCATGATCACATGTGCACTGGTGTACATTTATTGTCCCCCGGTGAGGGCTTTGGTGTAGAGTGACGGAACGTCAAGCCATCTTTTCCAGTGGGAGATTTCTAATACCTGTGTCTATCATTCTTCCTTCTGTGGCCATTCTGCTTCTCAAGAGAAGAATTCTTCAGCTCCTTGCTTGTTGGGTCTGACCCTAACTAGCAGTGCTAAGTTTAGGAGCTGGTGGGAAGTAGAGAGGTGGGGATCTCACCTTTCAGAATGCAGACTTCTTCCTATTAATTTCGCTGCTATGCTCAGTGCCCTTATTTTAACCAGAGCCTGCTGGTTCAATGTCTTCAGAGAGGAAGTCCCTAATCCGCTGGGTGGAGGAGGGACAGTCACTGGCTCCGTGGGGTAGGGGGTAGAACTGACATTTTTGGTTTTGGTCCTATGCTTCACTTCTGCCTTCCAAGTTTTTCTGGCATCCCGAGAGCAGACGAGCTTGCTTCCCATGCGGGGGTCCCCTCTGGAGACACATAAGATTCATCTTCTCCCACTTTGCCACCTCAGGTACTATTTACCCAATCTTCTTTCTGCCTTCACACATCTCATGTGAGATCACTGGTAGTTACTTTGGTGATGATGATTCGTGTCCCTTGGGAAATATGCTACCTCTTTAGTATCGTGGAGGATCACCTCAAGTCTCGAAATCCAAAGATCAGAAAGAGACCTCTCCGAGAAAAACCATATCCCTGTCCTCGCTTTTCATTCAGCATGGATCCTGTGGCCACCACCTCCTTATGCTCCTCACAGGTACCGAAAGTTTAAGGCTCTTGCATATGAAAATGTGAGCAGTTAACGACTGGTTTGTTTCTTGAAGGTTAAGTAAGACACTTGATGCAGAATTATGTCCCTCCAAAGAAAGGATTCCTCCATTAGGTGAAAGTTTTCTTCCTGGTCAAGGAGAGATGTGGATTTGCTCAGAGAACTCATCCCAAGGAACTCATCCCAAGTGATGGCGTCACTGTATGAAGCAATTTCTCACTTTCCGTTCCCCTCACTCCTCATTTTGTTTTCATCTTGGTTCCAGTGTCACCTCAAAGGAAGCTTGCCCTGATTAATACTTTGCAGTTCTCAATATGTCGGCATATTTTCTGAAACTACCCCAGCTTTTCTCCATATATTAGCTTATAATTTATTCCTCTGAACTGTGGCTCGATGCCTCATCTTTTTTACTAGATTATACATGAGGGCAGGGATTATCTCATTTTTAAGCTCAGATCAAGCACTCAGTCTACATTTGCTTCTCCTAATAAGAATTTACCTATATTTGAAATAGTCTAAATCAGTTAGTAATGATTTATGTTTCTCCTTTCAAAATCACATACAATATACAAGAATTTAAGGCAGTTATAAGAAATTGTTAATTGAGTGGTCTTCCAAGATTAGTATCTCCTATCACAACATGCACTATGCACTAAAATAAATTCCCAAAAGATAACAATTACCCTTAAACCAGATTAGGAAAACACGCAGAAGAATATTTATCTGTTCTCAGGTACTTCCCCAGAAAAAAAGTCACTTTTTTAAAAGAACAATCACAAAGGAAACATAGATTTTTATAATACAAGAATATGAAACCTTTACACACAAAAGTTGTAATGTTCACAGCAGCATTCTTTCTAGAAGCAACCTTGCTCTGCAACCCAATATCTGGAAACCGAATCGAGAAATGTGTCAACAGAAGACTGGTTACATTACTTATACAAAGGAATATAAAAAGGCTATTCTGACAGTGAGGGCTATCTATTGGTGGCATTATTTATTGACCTAAAAATATGATATATTGGTAAGAAAGGAAAACATTTAAAAAGCAGCATATATAGAGTGATACCATTTTATAATTAAAAAATACTTTCCCCTCCTCCCTTAAAAATACTTTGATGTGTATATTACATATTAATATGGATTATCTCTAGGTGTCAGAATTAGGAATTTTTTAAAATAGATTTTCCTTTTCCATATTTTTTGAAGTTTTACAATAGACACATATTTAAGACAAAAAAATAAAGTCACTGAAGTTGAATCTACTGTGGTCATCATGTCATAATACATGTAAATCACACCATCATGCTGTACTTCTTAAACTTAGATGGTGATGCATATCAATAATTTCTCAATAAACCTGGAAAAAAATTTTTGAAAGTCACTTTGATTTTGAAAAAAATTCATGAAAAACAAAAGGCACTGGGAACAAAATTTTCAAAATTAAAAAAAGAACTGGGAACACACAGGAAAAATGAGACAAATGAAGAGGAGAAACATCATTTAATAAAGTGCTATCCCACTCTCCATCAAAATCTAAACTAAAACATACGAGGAATATGAAAAATATTCACAGAGGAAGAAATAGAAATGGTCAATTGACATTTATAAAATATTCAATTTCTACTATTATTCAAAAAAATGCACAACACAACCAGATTCTGGTTGAATATTTAGTGCCGCATGCCTACTTTCTGCCAGATAGCAGAATCCATCCTTTATATTAATGATCGAAATTAAATCTTCAAGGTAAGTGTTTATTTCCTTTTCTCTGTGAGGTAAAGGAGGTTTAATGACTTGCCTGAGGTCACCCAAAGGGTGATTAGCCCAGCCCAGATGCAAACACTGGCCTGCCCAACTCTAAAGGGGTTGTCCCACCCACTATGCCATACTGCCTCTCACTTTTTCTTTTGTAAATTTCAACTCTTTGTGTCACATACTGATGTGGGTACATGTATACTGAGAATCTAGCGTAGTACTTGAGCAAAGTCATCCACATCAATAGCCTTAAAAAGGTTCATTATTATTCAAACAGAAAAAAGACGGGTCAGAGTCTTTGGACCCGCAATCCCCTTTTATTAGGCATCTCGACTAAGGGAATCATCAAAAATTCAGAATAATGGACAAAATTATTATTGTATTATTCATAACAGTGAAAAACTGGAAACATCTTAAATGTCTAATAAATTATTATGCATATGAATGATTCAATTAAAATGGTTTCCAGAGTAGTGATGTAGACAAATGTTCACCAGCAGCAGTAAGTGAAAGCAGGATACAGACTGTATATACAGTGCCACTCACCCAGCAGGCGAATGTGTGTGCACATACACACTTACATCCACACGCAAACTCACTGCCAGGAGATGCATCGCAGATGAACAATACTTTGCAGGATGGTAATGTCATAGGAAATTTTTTTCTTAATTTTTCTTTGTAGTTATAGCCAAATGCCCTATATTGGGGATGTCTTACACGACCACAAAAAGATAAATGTTATTTTGTAAAGTGTACATTACTATCAGGTATTTTATTGCTATGATATTTATTTCTGTTTTGCGTATTTTGGGATTTTTATTTCCCTTTGTTTATAATGGTAATTTGCCTTCCAACTTGCAGTGTTTGATAAAAATTTGGCAAATGTCCGTGGACATCATCATTTGTCTGTCCAGGGCCCACAATATACTGAAAGAACTAGTGGTTTGCAAAGTTTAGAGAGTACACTTGAGCACAAGTCTCTGTGTTGGTTCCACATTACTTTTGTGGCACGATTATCCCAGTGTCATATAAAAGAATAATTGACTCTAATCCATTTTTATAGAAAATTTAGGTAATTTCTGGCTTCACAGAAGCATGAACTTTCCCCTGCATTTTTATTTACCAGTTATATTGTATAATGGCATTTGCATGAAGTATAATATTTTACTACTACAATTAGGATTACAATGATAATTGCTTTTTTAAGGGAAAACCTGACGCCTTAATTTTTTATTCTTTTAGATTCTCACTTGACTTTTGGTGACAATTAGCAGAGGCCAGTATGAGTCTCTCCTTGTAGAATATAATTTTTGTAGCATCCCAACCTAACATCGTCTAAACATGCGGGGGAAAAAAATAGTTTTTTTTCACGGGTGTGTGTTCTTTACTTCAATTAAACTCACACAGTTGGATACTGACTGTTGCCAAAACAGTAATATAATTTATACATTATAGTCCACACAGTAAAACTACACTAAAAGTCATTTAACAATATTTATAACACCATAAAATACAGTGTTAAAATATATGAACTGCAATATGTACCAAAATTATAAAATTTGTTTCTCATCATCAGTGATTAAAACCAGGATCATTGCTCTAGCCTCAATACCCACAACCCTGGTGACAGATTAGAATTCAAATCTTAATGATCAATTTACAATTAACAAGATAGAAGTGAAACAAATTAAACCAACCATTATATATAACGAGACCCAATGGACTCCCATTGTTCCTCTTAATTACAAAACGCAAATCACAAATACACAATGGGCAGTGTTAGACATCAATCCACAAGCCTAGCAACCCAGAAAGTGACAGTGATGGGGAAAGAAAGAAGAGACGCAAAACCAAAACCACCACGTAGACCGGGGCTCTGTGCTCGCTGCTAGCCTGTCTCTCCAACATGCGAGTGCCGAGGGGCTGCAACCCAACCCGGGCTTGATCGCCCCCCTGCAGCTGGTAGAGGCTCCCTCCTCCCGGTGCCCAACACTTCTAAGCTCTTTCCAGGCCACAGTCCGAGCCCTGCAAACATTTTACTGCTGATTCATCCAAGCACCTGCGGAGAGGGAACACTTCCCTCACTTAGATAAAGAGAAATCACAGTTGCACCAAAGATATTTCAAGAGCTCCACTTACCACCCTCAAAAACAACCCTAGGACTTGTAATAAGCTCCCAGGGTCCCGGGGAATAAAGACGAAAGGGAAGCTAAAGTTTATGAGAGCCTCAACTACAATCAGCCGGCTTGCTTGCCTGGTGCCAATTAAAAGCAAAATGGAATTAATTCTCCCGTCTCGTGGTCAGAAACCAGCTATATCAAATGCACAGAATTGGCAGTTCATTTTTCGTCTGAAAATGGGATGTGCCATTCACAAACCCTGGAGTTACAGACACCACCCAAGCAGTGTGGAATGCGCCGTGCAGAAAGTATCGCGCTGATCACTGGGGAGGGCTTGCAGACAACAGGAGCTCAAGGAGCTGCCGTAATACCACGCACGTTACTTGGGGAGAAAACACATGCAATAGGCACACTCGGAGGAACCATTTCTAAACACTTGCGCAGGGCAGCCTAGCCTGAGGCTGGGGTAACGAGTCGGGGCCTCCTGCACGGTGAGCCCGGACTGTCAGCGCTCCTAGGGACGGCATGGGCTCTGGTCAAATGGCTAGATCTCTGAGTAAAAAATAAAGCTTATTATAAATGGTGTGAAGCCATTTGGTTAGTATGGGATTATAAATAATGTGGAACTCTTCGAGAAAATGTCCTGAGTAAGAAAAGGGGAACCACAAACATTGTTCTCGATTGTTGAGCAATACAAAATAAATATAATACCCACTTTTAAGAAAAATTTTACCTGTAGCACTCTGAGGACAAGCTGCCTCAAAATTACCATGTGGTTTCATTATTGTGGAGACTGAACTTCCACAACGACAACACTTTAGAAAGCTCAAAAAACTCCAAGATTTTCCTCACCTCAAAGCACAGGAAAAATCATTTATCCCCAAAGTTTAGTACAGGGTGTGCAGAGCTCCCGAAGGCTTCTATAGGGCTTCATAAATTTATAATCTTTATTTAAAAAGAAATACTCGGAGGCCTTCAAGTTATATAGGTGAATTCAAAGCAAACAGTTAATGTCAAAATCAAATGATACATTTTGTACGAATTTTGAAAATGTCATCATCGTCATAGAGGGAGCCAGAGGGAAAAGAGACTCCGTGGACAAGAAATTAAGAGTCAACAACCAACCAACGTTAAAATCACAGTTTATCGTATCTACCACGTTCTTGTGAGACACACAAAATGAATATTTTGTAAACTTTGGGGGCTCTTAAAAGTTTTAACCATAATACGTAACAATTTTTTGAGTGTTTACGATTGCCAGGCCTTGGTTTTGGATAAACTTGCAAAGTTACAGTAGATGACTATTTTAATTCTTCAGATTTACGGAACAGGCCATCTCAGAGCAGGACTCGAAACACAACCAGCCCCATAGTTTCCCGATCCTGCTTTGTTTGCCTTTACAAAGGTTCTTCTTGTGGTATAGACTTTATGTCTGTCAGAATAGCACTCAGACCCTCCCTGGAAAAGACAATAATACCTAGATAGAAGTCAATCCAAATTGCCCCGGTCAAGACCCTGAAAACAACGCCATCAGCTATGGTTCTACTTCCGTGTGTCAAGCACCATGCGAGGCCCTTTACATACGTGTGTATGTATATATGTGCATTGTATATCTCTCGGTGTTTCTCATCCCCACAACAATCCTGCAACATGGTTTTAGAAATGTTTGAGGGGCCCCTGGGTGGTACAGTCGGTTAAGCACTGGACTCTTATTTCAGCTCAGCTCATGAACTCAGGGTAGGGCTCTGTGCTGAGTGTGGAGTCTGCTTGAGATTCTCCCTCTCTCTCGGCCCCTCCTGCCTCCCCTTCACGTTTTCTCTCTAAATAAGTAAATAAATAAATAAATAAAATACATTTCAAAAATATACATATTTTATAGATGGAGAAGCTGAGGTTTGGAGGGATTAGGCAATGTACCCAAGTGGCACAGCGAGATTCGAACCTAGTTCTTTCTGAATTCCAAAGTGGTTTTCACTGCACCCTGCCTGTCATCAACATGGGAACACGTTGGGACCAGAGTCAGGTCAGGATACGAGGTATAAAACCATACTTGTTTCATTCATTTAGTTAGTAAGTATGTACTGCATGCCAGGTATGTATCAGACAGGGGCACGCTCAGTCGACAAAGCAGTAGTCAGAAACTGGAGGAACCCGAAGCAAGGGGAGGTGGAGAGGGGCTGAGGCTCAGTTTCCCTAGATCAGTACAGGGTACATGGATAGATCCAGAGCAGAAGAAAGAGGGCCCAGGACACAGGGCACAGGTTGACCCAGGCTCCCAGGCTTACCCTCACATGACAAGCATGTCTACTTCTCCATGGGAATTTAAAGAATATTTTTTTCTTTCCCAAACTTTCTCATCATAGCTGCTTTGGCCTGATTTTCTTTGGTAGTAGATGTACAAGAAAGATCATAGGCCTTGGAACTAGAAATATGTACAGTAGAACTCTAGCTCTCCCACTTCCCAGCTATTTAAACACTCTTGAGTATTGGTTTCCCCACATGTAAAAGAAGATAATAATTCCTGTCTCAAGTTGTAAGAATTAAATAATATATACCAAGCATATAGCACCTCCTTCTCTTTTATATGCCGCAATTTCCAGAATTATGTCTCCTCAGCAAGATAATTAATCAATCACGAAGCAATCTTAATCTTTTAAGTCCCAGATCAATGTAATTTTTTCTTAGATTATATGATCCAGTTTTTTTGTTTGTTTCTAACAAATTACTTAGTTCTGGGTTTATGTGAGGCAAATCAAATACTTCTAGTTAGCAGTAGCTACTGTTGATATATTATGAGGGTCTCTCCTGCAACAAAATCATTTGGGTTTCCTTGTCAAACTTCTTGGAAATATCTGGTATTTTGGCACCCTGAGCTTTCTCTACTCAAACTAGATCTTTAATTAGTATTTGCTAAGAAGGTGCACATGTCAAAGCACATTCTGAGAGCTTTATAGGAGCCTCTGTCTTCCTGTGAGCAGAAAGAACTGGATTCATCAGCCCTGATTCCCCAAAGGATTCAGAGATAGGGGTTCCAATAGCTAAGCCACCTCATTGATGCAGGAACACAAGATAGAGCTCAGGGTGATCAGATATGCTCTGATTCTCTAGGAAATTCTTTCTGAACGAGATACCTAAGTCAGAAGTTTGCTGAGCCCCACTGCTTGCTCTGTGTAAATCTAAGTGAACTTCAGAAAAATACAGACGAGATCTACAGGGTATTTTTCCATCGGGTTGTATTTTAATGGGGCATCTGATATCTAGTTAGTTTATGTGAACGATGCCTTTTATGATTTAATTCAAAGTGATTCTGTCCAATACCATTCATTTATAAGAGGAAAGCACAGTTCAAGCAAGTCAAGTAAATTTGTCTGAGATTAGACAGTTACTCTCAGAGCTGAGATGAGAACTCAGGCTTCTTATCATTTAGAGTATAAATCATTCATTCATGGAAATAATCTGATTTGAAAATGTGCAGAAAATAATTCACGAAGATCCCAATCAATGTATTTTATAAAAGAGCAGTGAACCTACAAAATGAATGATAACTGTTCTAATAAATTAATTTTAGGAGAACAAAAGGATGGTTTGGGTTTATTTATTTTCAAGTATCACCTACTGTCATTTTTATAGATACACATTTCATCTATTATCATTTGACTTAAAGATAGTTTCTGGGTGTTCGTGGAGAACTGTGATAACAGATTAAAATGTTAACTCTATCGATGGAAGACTTTAAAACTGCTTGATTTATCTGAATCCTTTATTAAAATACTTGCCATCTTGACCTTTGTGTTCTGAAGTTTCATAACTGTCGGTTCTGAACGTTAAGAAGGTCAAATAATAGTACGTATACATAATCATGAAAAAAAACACCAAGGGGTTTGTATGGACAATTTAGAAACTGTACGTATTAAGAAATTGTCCATACAGAGGAAATATTTTTACAGGATATAGGTCAACACATATCTAATTTTGACATTAGCCTCAAATAGTGGAAACACCGTTTTTTAAGAAAAAATGACAGTATTCACACAAACAGTGCTCTGAAAGTATCATATAATATTACCTACCTGCTTTTTTTAGAGATTTGCTCCAGTTTCTTGGCTAATGCACAGCACTCTTCCTTTAACTTTGTCAAAAATGTATTCTGGGAGGTCAGCAATGAATACTGTTCATTTTCTAGAAATAACAATAAACCCCCCACCAATATAAGATGTTTATAGTTGTAACTCTGCAGGGCTTCCATATGTAGACCGGTAAAAGTGTTAAAACCACTCCCATTTCCTATAAGCCACCAGGTCAATTTCAGTGTCCAAAGTCAAAGGACCACTCACCTGGCAAGATACTAAATCTTGGGAGGCATTAATTTTTCTAATAATTACACCCCAGAAACAGTTTTGATCATACACGCTTGGGGTAATGGTTTAATGTGTTGATAAACTGTCAGATTATCTCAAGGGGAGCCATGGATGCTTATATCTTTGTAATATGCAAGATATTACATTTTTATTTTGACAATTTCACTATAAACAGTGTCAAGAATGATCACAACTAGATAATTCACAACTAAAATAACGGAGGAACTTTCTTCTATACTTCTTAATTCATGCTTTATGTTTCGTATTTGCCCACAGATCTCACTATCCCTGCCCCTTGTGTACACTTCTTTCATTATGAAGGTAAAGTACATAATTTTCCCTAGAATCTGGATTTCATTGTCAACAGTATGAGTTTCACTAAAGATCTGGTCAAAGGAATTGAAGGGAGTGTGGTATTTTTGTGCAAAATAAAAGGAAGTGTTCTTAAGAAGGTCTTAGCCATTAAATCCCCTCACGTAGCACTCAGAGATTCTGCACAAGACTCCTTGATCACTAGGATCCTGCAAGCAGGAGGGGCAAACACTAATTTTTCCTGGAATTTCCTCCTTTTATTTTTAGTGGAAAAACATCTACTGGGTCTGGAAAAATGCCGGAGGGTATCATGTGGGTCAATATGACATTTGCCTCTTCATAAGCAAATAGATGATTTAATGAATTTTACATTTCCATTTTTCACCTATAGGATGAACAATCATTTTTTACCCTGTCATCAAATAGAGTGTACACAAGATCATGTGAAAATTATCTTTAAGTGTCAGGCTTAATAAGTCCCTCTATTTCTTCCCGATTTTAGCCACTGACTGGCAAAAAGCACATAGCATACAAAGCAAAATAAATCAAGGCACCAAAAATTAAGCAACACTTTTCTGGAAGAGACAGGATCAATTAAACTTTTGTTTTAATAGTCCAATCAGCTCAGCGTATGTGGTGTGGAATTATAATGACTGACATGGTCTTGTTTTGACTAACACTGTCTGTGAACACACAACTCACAAGTGAAAGGAGCTGCAGAATGCTCCGGCTGAGTTCAGCATCAAACTGCCTGCTTTGAACAAAAGTGCATTTTACTTTCAAATTAAAGGTAAAGAGTTACTGGCCAACTCTGTCTGCAAAACAGCACCGATGTGATGAGAGGTGGCAGTTTTTAGCCACGCTGACAGCTGTGGCCAGTGCCTTGTATTAGGGAATTTTCACAGCAGTTTGAGAACTTGAAGAATGCAAAGGATTAAACATCACTCTAGATTGGGCTGGGGGATGTGGCGAAATCATACAAATGCTAAAAATGTTCGAAGCTGCAAAGATTAAATAAAGGAACATATCAATTTAGAGCCACTGAATTACATCCAGCTGCGACAGTGAATTAAGAACCGATTAATGGCTAAAGCTTTTCTCCAGTTTGGATGCTGAAGCAAACTCATTAGGCTTTTAGAGTAGCTATAATGTGTGTACTGTGGGAACTGTTCAGTGCTATTCAGGAGACTCTAACTGTAAGCTCAGAGCATTTCCCGCAGAGCTTCTGATGCTATTTTTTTATATAACATGTGTGCCTGAAAACCCAGCCAAAAACAAGCCCTTTGTTTTTCTACTTTGTTGTGGTCTCTCTCAGCTTTACGTTTCTTGAACACAGGTAAATAAACTCATAATCCAGATGGTGCAACAGATGTGAGAGCAGTACTCTGAAATCAACAGACAGTGGGCAATACTTTCCATTTTCTCTTTTAAACGCTAACTAATATGTAATTCGGAATCTCCGGTGTAGTTAGCATCTGCTCCCTTCGGCCAGCCAAAGGTTACAGGTGTTCCTGATGTCATTTCACAGTAAGGCGTGGGCCTGGCTTGTGAGCCAGGGCCCAGGCTCTAATCTTTCCCTACCACCTACCAGTTTTGTCATGCTGGGCCTCCATTTGCTGTATCTTCTGTGTCAGCTCCTGTTCTCTTTGCTGGGCCTGAAGGGCTTGGGCCTTTGCTTCGTTGCTAAAGCTCTGCTGAATGCTATCTTTTTCCAGTCTACAAAGCAGAGAGGAGACAGACAGAAATGTAATCTACAGATGCACCAAGCCCCACCATTTCCCCTACAGACCACAGAGAGCTGATACCTAGTAAATTGTGAAGCAGAAGTGGACAGCAATCTGTCAGACCCCCTCCTCCCCTACCCCTCCACCTTCCCGGCCCCCCTCTCCTCCCCCACCCTCTCCCCCCCGCCACCCCAGCCCCCTTGGGGGGAAGAGCCAAGGGGCCTTTCATGCTGTGTTTAATACATGCCATATATCGAAACGGACTAAAGTATACAACTTTAAAAATCAAAAAATTGTGACAGCCGAATATTAATATTTTATAACCTGAAAACACAAACCTCCTTTCCGGTAAGATTGTCAACGTTCTGGGCCACCATTTCCTGTTTTATCTTTTGAATGGTCAATATTTCCTACAAATCTTGCGGTCCTACAAATGGCATGATTCAATACACCAAAACTTAAATTCTTGAAACTCAGCTTTGTAGACCACCTCGGCTTTTCCTCCCCAACTTAAAATGGAATCTCAGATAGAATGTAGGAGATCCAATCTAGAAGCAAGGAAATGATTCTGCATGTTTTCGTTAAACATTTCCGCACATTAGGCCACATGATGGGAATATAAATATGAATATGAAAATGAAAAACTTCCCCCAGCACATCAGAATAAGACCTCTTTTGCGTCATGCTGAGAGAAGTTGCACAATGAGAATATTCCATCGTCCAAGACAACGTCCCACCCTGTGGTGATGGGATATTGACCCAGCGAGATGGGTCATCCCACTGGGTCAATATCCCATCACAGTGGCTCCTAAAGAAAGAAACTGCCTAAACAATTGGAAGCTGAGGCGATACTGAATACCGCACACACACGTCAGGTTGGTTCCGCATACTCTGAATACGGGTAAGTGGAATGAGGGTTTCCTCTAATTAACTGAGTTATGTCTAACTCCTGATCTCCTTGTGGGCATTTCTCATCCGTGCTGTTTTAGTTTACTAATTGAGATATTTACTGCCTTGCCTTTGCCAAACCAAAAATAAACAATTCCATAAAGCTATCCCTAGTAGTCTACATACCGCTGTGGAGCTTCGATTCATTGGCTTCTAATTATAAAGCAACATAAGGAAAGTCTGTATTGAAATTGGTCAATGCATGTGGTAATGTTGTAGTGTAAAATTTCAGGAGGAAACTATACCCATACCTCACTCAAATGGAATCATCAGGAGTCCACGCTAAATGTGAAATAAGGTCCCTTCTGGTGCTTCTAATAACAACACCCCCTTGGACCTGCTCCAAGGTCTTCCCTCACACTAAGTTCCAAACTGGTATATTGCAACAAATAGATACACTAGGCCACTTTTTGCCTCCCCAGTCACACCGTGCATCTTCTGCCCATGGATCCCTGCATATGTCTCTTTGTTTTCCTGGGATGGCCCCCACCCTGCATCCTGTTCCACAGCCCCCCACACTCACCCCCACCCCTCTCCCTCTGCTCAGTGTATACTACTCCTTTAAGGTCTGCTCAAAATTCTCCCCTCTCCTTCCATTCTCTCCTAAATTAAGTATTTTTTCCTCGGTGACCTTAATATAGGTTGTAAATGGATACGTCCTACTAAGATGGCATTTATCACACTTGACTTACTGCTTCTTGTCATCTTTGTCTCTCTAAATCCGGAGCCCAGCTCAGGATTGGCACATAAGAAGGAGGCAGTGAATGCTTAATGAATAGATGTTCTTAGACCCTCGCCATGGGGGAAGGGAGGATGCAGTCTTTAGTGAGGCTGGAGAATCTGCTCAAAGCTAGTTTGAGGAGGCAAAAACTTTTCAGACATTTCAAAAGGAAGAGTGCCTGGAAGAGAGAAGCTCCAGGGGCTTCACTAGCTAGAAACCGTGCTGCTGAAGGAATCAGCCTAAAAAGAGACTGTGGACTCTTCCACTGAGGAACCACCCCGATGTCAGGTCCCTGGTTACAGGCACGGAGATGTGAGGCTCTGAGATCACTAATAACTGGGTAGCCTTACAACACACTGCTCAAAACCAATATCCATTTGAGAGTGAAAAGGAGTGCTACTGATAATCATACCAGGACAACAGCCATGACTGGGGCTACCCTTTGCCAACCCGGGCTATGGTTCTCCTACATAAAGGGGTTGCCAGGCTCAACATCAATTTTTAGCACGAGAAGCTGCCTAATAACGGATATTCTAAATTTACTATAGAAAAAATAACTACTGTTATTGTAGTTCTCCTTAAAAAATAAGACAATTTAAAAGAATGCACTACTGAGACACCTCGGGGTGACAATTTAAAAGAATGCACTACTGAGACACCTGGGGGCTCAGTCAGTTAAGCGTCTGTTTTCGGCTCAGGTCATGATCCCGGGGTCCTGGGATCAAGCCCCTCACTGGGGTCCCTGCTCACGAGGGAGCCTGCTTCTCCCTCTCCTTCTGCTCCTCCCTCCCACTTGTGCACAAGCTCTCTCTCTCAAATAAATAGAATCTAAAAAAAAAAATCAGTGCTCTACCAACAAATGTTGACTTAAACACCAAGTTTTGTTTCTTGAATCCTTCTCCAATTTTTACTTTAAGAAACTACGTGTTATTTTATAATTTTTAATCGAGGTATAATTGACATATAACATATTAGTTTCAGGTGTACAACATAATGGTTCAGTATCTGTATGTAGTACGAAATGATCACCACAAGTCTAGTTAACATTTTTTTTCATTGCATAAAAAACACAGCATATCTTTACTTTCCTATTTCCTCCCTCCAGCCCCCTTTCCTCCCGTGTTGCCTTTTCCCTTTGCAGGTTCTTTCTGACTTAGTAGGCTTTTTATAAAATCTTAGAATGTTAGAACTGAAAGGGAATCTCAAATCTGTTTAATCAAATCCTCTCACATTATAGCCGAATAAAGAAATAGGCTTGAAGGTTACATTGTAAGTGATGTGAAGGCAGAGGTGGGACTTGAAATATTCTGATTTAGGGAAACCTATTTCATGGCACTCCAGAGGTAATGCAATCATGGATTGAAAGAATTAATAAAAACCACTTATGTGTCCAAGGGGAGGGATTAGAGAAGAATCCAAATCAATTCATATAATATTTATCATAACTCTATTATGTAAAAGACACTCTGCTAGGCACTGAGTCAAATAGAGATAAATGTGGCATAGTCTTTGCTCCCAACAGGGACTTCAAAATGGCTACAATAGGAAGTAGAAGGTGGAATACACCATAAGAAATCTACCAAATTTGGGAAAACTACCAAAGCAAAGAAAAATGAGAGGTCCGTCCTAGCTGGGTGTGAGAGTGTCACAAAGGGTGGCTGAGCTAGTCTTCCCCAACTGGGTTTCTTTCAGTTCTCACTCAGAACACTGATGATTTCATTTAATCAAACTTTTAGTTAGCCATATTTTATAAAGTGGAATAAAAGCAATGGCAGTAAAGCAGAATTTCTTGGTTGTGATTAAAATGAGGCTGAAAGATTTAGTCATAATTGTTAAAAACTGGAAACAGTCAAGGGGCGCCTGGGTGGCTCAGTTGGTTAAGTGTCTGTCTTCGGCTCAGGTCATGATCCCAGGGTCCTGGGATTGAGCCCCACGTCAGGCTCCCTGCTCAGCGGGGAGTCTGCTTCTTCCTCTCCCTCACCCTCCCCCTGCTTGTGCTCTCCCTCTCTCTGTCAAATAAATAAATAAAATCTTAAAGAAAAAAAAAAACTGGAAACAATCTAAATGTCCATTAACTGCTAAATGGATAAAGAAACTACGGTATTGCCTTACAGGGATACTAGGAATAGTAAGAATAAAAAGGAACAAGCTACTGTAAGTAAAACACACGGATGAGCCTCAACAGCAGTATGCTTAGTTAAAGAAACCAGACGCCACAAACATATTGTATGATTTCATTTACATGACGTTCTAGAAAAGTAAACACTAGAGTGACATGTGAGTGCCACCAGGACCTAAGAACAGGGGGTGTGTGTGAGGGAACAAAGGGGCATGAGGGACATTTGGGGTTGACAAGAAGTGTTCTCTATCAGGATTATAATGGTTCCACCTCTGTATATATTTGTCAAAATATTTTTCATTGCACATCTAAAATTGGTGATTTTTATTATATTTAAATTTACCTCCATAGAGCTGATTTTAAAAGGGAGAAACTGCACTAGAATAGGAACATCTACCTTCTTCTCCCAGTTATTCACAATCACCGGTGGCCAAATGTGGACATGTCCATGTTTTCTTGATGATAATTAAGAGTTAAAGGAAGTACTGGATATACTGGATAGTCCTCAAACATGGACCAAGTACACATAGAGGTGTTGTCACCCCTTTTTTCGAATTACAGTTCTGGTTGGTTATATTCTCTAAAAATGTCTGCAATGATATTTACCATCCCATTAAAGAAAGGGACTGAAGAATTCACCTTATGTTTTTGATCCTCAACTTTTCTATATCATTTATTATTTTAAATCCTGCTATTTTAAAAATATTCATGTCACAGAGGAAAAATGATTTATTAGATTTTTTTAAGGACATTCTAAATTTTATAGCAACATTGAAGGAGTAAAAGTTTCTGACGGTCCTAAAGTTCATCGATGAGTCTGAGATGGAAATGATGAAAGCTTCAAGTCTAACCCGAGCACGGGGTCTGCAGTGGTGGTGATTTGAGGCACCAATCCTGTCTGCCATGTTTCTAGTCACCTGTTCATCGAGGGCTGAAGCTGTGGTATTAAACATACAATCCTTTTGGTTAAATGGTGTTTCCCTTCTAAAGTACAATACAGAGAGCTTTGTGACAGTAGAATATTGGTATGACAAAGTTATGAGACCCTTTATAACATGCTTACTAGTCGAGAGCCATTCCTGATGGAATTATAGAGAAAAAAAGCAGGGAGGTGTGGGTGTCATTGTGAGTTAAGACACATGATGTCTATGTTTCCAACATTGGCGATATTATCTTTGATCACTTGGTTAATGTGCTGTAAGAA